CAGAGACAGGCGGATTTCTGAGTTCGAGGCCAGCCTGGTCTACAGAGTGAGTTCCAGGACAGCCAGGGTTACACAGAGAAACCCTGTCTCGAAAAACAAAAACAGAAACAAAACCCCAAAACAAACAAACAAACAAACAAAAAGCCAACAACAACAACAACAAACCACATCTAAAACAACATCTACCATGATTAAACAGGCTTCTTTCCAAGGACACAGGGTTGGTCCAACATACGAAAATTCATCAATGTAATACACCATATAAACAAACTGAAAGAAAAAAAATCCACATGATCATCTCAGTAGATGCTGAAAAGGATTTGACAAAATCCAAGACCCCCACACAATAAAAGTCCTGGAGAGATCAGGGATACAAGGCCCATACCTAAACACAATAAAGGCAATATATTGGAAGCCGATAGCCATCATTGAATTAAATGGAGAAAAACTGAAAGTAATTCCATTAAAATCAAGGACAAAGCAAGGTTCCCCACTCTCTATTTATTCAATATAGTATGTTAATTTTTGGCCATAGCAATAAGACAACAAAAGGAGATCAAGGGGATACACATTAGAAAGGAAGAAGGCAAAGTATCGCTATTCACAGATGATATGCTAGGATACATAAGTGACCCCAGAGAACTCTTACAGCTGACAAACACCTTCAGCAAGTGGCTGGATACAAAATTAATTCAAAAAGAAATCAGTAGCCCTCCATCATTACAAAAATGATGAACGGGCTGAGAAAGAAATCAGAGAAACCACACCCTTCACAATAGCCACAAATAATATACAATATCTTGGTGTAACTCTAACCAAGCAAATGGAAGACCTGTATGATAAGAACTTCAAGTCTTTGAAGAAAGAAATTGAGGAAGATATCAGAAGATGGAAAGACCTCCTGTGCGCATGGATCAGTAGGATTAACACAGTGAAACTGGCCATGTTACCAAAAGCAACCTACAGATTTAAAGCAGTCCCCATCTAAATTCCAACACTCTTCTTGACACACCTTGAAAGAACAATACTCAACTTCATACAGAAAAACAAAACAAAACTAAACAAACAAACAAACATCAGGAAAGCCTAAACAATAAAAGAACTTCTGGAGGTATCACCATCCCTGACTTCAATCTGTACTATAGAGCAATAGTAATAAAATTCATATGATGTTGGTGTAAAGATAGGTTGATCAACAGAATTGAGTTGAAAACCCAGGAGTAAGCATAAACATGTACAGACACTTGATTTTTGACAAAAAAGCCAAAACTATACAGTGGGGAAAAAAAGCACCTTCAATAAATAGTGCTGGTCTAACTGGATGTCTATATGTAGAAGAATTCAAATAATCCATATTTATCACCGTGCACAAAACTCAAGTCCAAGTGGATCAAAGAATTCAATGTAAAACAAGTAACACTAAATTTAATAGAAAAGAAACTGGGGAACATCCTTAAACGCATTCAGTCAGGAGACAACTTCCTGAATAGAAAACCAACGGCTCAGGCATTAAGATCAACAGTTAATAAATGGGACCTCATGAAACTGAAAAGTTTCTGTAAGGCAAAGGGGACTCACAATAGAACAAAACAGCAACCTACAGAGTGGGAAAAGATCTTCACCAATCCTACATCCAACATTCAGCTGGTATCTAAAATATATAAAGAAATCAAGAAATCACAACCAACAAACCAAATAACCCAATTAAAAAATGGGGCACAGTGTTGAGGGTAATATTTAAAATGGCGACACCTGATCTGGCTTGTTCTTATGGGGCTGCCATGTTCCCAACTAGACAAGGCCCGGGGCCAAGAGCGGTGGCATGCTCCTGCCAGTCTCAGTTCAGACCATAGCTCAGGCCAGCCAGAAGCACAGGCCCTGGCACCCACGAGACGCCATTGTGGTGACTAGATCAGCCAATCCACCACACTGTCCACAATACTTGGCTGGGCCCAGATAATACCCACCATCCCGCAGTACCCGGTAGAGTGAAGACTCCTAATACTTAATGGCTATCCAATTGGTACATATATTTGGAAACGCTCAATTAACAAAATTACCACACAATTAGAATTGTAAACCCAATTAACTAACCTAGATATGAATAACTACCCGGGACTGCTAAAGACACGCAGATGTCCCCAGTTATCTTCTCTCCTGCTCTCCTCTCCTTCATCCCTCCCCCTCCTCTTCCTTCTCTTCGTCCTCTCTTTGACTACCTCTCATACAGCCCAAATGCTGAGCTTTATACAAATGTAGTGGGAAGATATCCCGCTACAGTACAGAGCTAAAGTGAATTCTCAACAGAGGAATCTCTAATGGCAGAAAAGTACTTAAAGAAATGTTCAGTATCCTTAGTCATCAGGGAAATGCAAATCAACTCTGAGTTTCCATCTTACAGCAATTAGAATGGCTGAGATAAAAAATTCAAGTGACAGCTCATGCTGGTGAGGATGTGCAGCAAGGGGAAACTCTTCCATTGCTGTTGGGAATGCAAATCTGTACAAACACTTTGGAAATCAATTTGGTTGGTTTCTCAGAAAACCAGGAATAGTTCTACCTTAAGATCCAGCTATACCACTCCTGTGCATTTACACAAAAGATGTTCCAACATACCACAAGGACAGTTACTCAGCTATGTTCGTAGCTGCTCTATTTATAATTGCCAGAAACTGGAACAACCTAGATGTCCCTCAACTGAAGAATGGATAAAGAAAATATGCTTCATTTACACAATGGAATACTATTCAGCTATTAAAAACAAAAATATCATGAAATTTGCAAGTAAATGGACAGAACTAGAAAATATCATCCAGACTGACGTAACTCAGACCCAGAAAGACACACATGATATATACTCACTTATAAAGTACAGGATAACGATGCTACAATCCACAGATCTAAAGAAGCTAAGTAACAAGGAGGGCCCAAGGAAGGATGCCTGAATCTCTCTGAGAAGGAGAAATAAACTATACATTGGGGATGGATGAATGGAGGGAATTAGGTGGGAGAGGGGATGGAGAAAGGGGACAGGAGGGAAAGAGACCTGGATTGGTGGGAGTGGGAGGCTTCACTGGGACTAACTAGAAACCTAGGACAATGGAAACTTTCAGGAATCTATGAGGGTGACTTAGCTAAGACTCCCAGCAGTTGGGAATACTGAACCTGAGATGACTACCTCCTGTAACCATACAAGACTTCCAATGGAGGGATGGAAACACCAACCAACCCACAACAAGACCTTCAACCCACAACTTGTCCTGCCTAGGAGCTGCACAGAGATAAAGATGGAGCAGAAATGGAAGGAATCACCAATCAATGACTGGACCAACGTGAGGCCCAGGCCATGAGAGAGAGGCAACCCCTGACACAATGAATGATATTCTGCTATACTTGCAGATCGATGCTTAGTATAACCGTCATCTGAGAGGCTTCATCCAGCAACTGATGGAACAGATGTAGAGACCCACAGCCTAACATGAGGAGGAGCTTGGGGAATCGTGTGGGAGGGGGTAGAAAGGACTGAGGGGTAGAACGGACTGAGGGAGACAGAGGGGTTAAAGGACACCACAAGAAAACCGATAGGATCAACTAACCTGGGCCCATAAGGGCCCACAGAGACTGAACCACTAAACAGAGAGCATACATGGAATGGACCTAGGCCACCTACACATATGTAACAGTTGTCCAGCTCGGCCTCCATGTTGGATTCCCAACAACAGGAACAGGGCTGTATCTGACTCTGCTGCCTGCCTTTAGGTCCCTTTCCCCTAACTGGGCTTGCCTTGTCTGGCCTCAGTAGAAGATGTGCCTAGTACTACTGCAACTTGGTATGCCAAGGTGGGTTGATATCTGTGGGAGGTCATCCCTTCTCTGAGGAGAAAGGGGGAGGGCTATGGAGAGAGGAGAGATGAGAGGAAAGGATGGGAGGAGAGCAGGGAGTGAATCTGTGATTGGGATATAAAGTAAATAAATTGATTAACAAAAGTGTAAAATAAAAATAAAATAAAGCAAAAAAAGAGGGAAAAAGAAAACAAACAAACAAACAAACAACAACGAAAATCCCCAGAGGCCAGCAAATTAAATAATGCAGATAAAATAGATAAGTTCCAACAATGTACAATCAAAAATGACAGGAAAGAAATCCTTGGGCTGACACTCAATTAGTAAAACACTTGCAAAGCAAACACAATTTGAGTACAAGTCCCTCCACCCACTCACATCACTGGGGGATTCTAGGCAGGGGCTCTACCACTGAGCCACACCCCAGCC